TTTTTAAGTACGAATAGTTTTCAACGAGGAGAAACCCGTCCTGAGATACGCACAAATTGATATGCGATTCAATTTTCTTTTTTACAAATGATTCAGTTCGTAGTATATTAAAACATATTCTTTAATCGAATATTTCCAAGATCTTTTCAAGAAAAAAATCGATGAATCGCACAGATAACGAAGCATATGAATGCTATCAAACGCATACATTAAGATTTATTTATATAATAATGTTGAGGAGAATTATGCTGTTGAAAAGAAGAATTGGCTATAAGTATGTAAACGAGAACATGAGGCTGATAGCGAACCAAGAAAAAGTAATCTCTTTCAAGATTATTGATAAATCGTTGCAATTACGTGGCTCGTTTTATTAGTCTTTGATTCTTGTAATTTTTTTTTTTTTTTTTTTTTTTTTTTTTTTAATGTATTATACATAAGGCCGAGATAAATTATGAATGGACTGATAAGTAATTAATTTTTATGGATTTGTATATATATGCATACATATGTATTTGTATGTATATATGATATATAATTTGATATAATTATTTTAGATCATGATAATTTATGTATGATTTTTATTGAATAATTTGTTCATTTACTTAACAGCCCATTCACTAGAAATATTTATATACTATTACGTATTTAAGATAAACAAATGTGTATGTCTCAGCGGTATCGATTTAGTAATTTAAAAAAAAAATATGTATTATTAATTAATCCACGAATAACGGTGCGACCTCCTATTGATCATATCTATCATTCAACTCGATTTGATCGATAAACGATATTTTCGTATCGATTTCATAAGTTGAGAAAAAAATCGATAAAAATGTTTATTGGTCGAATCGCGAGTTTGTAATCGCTCACAATGCAACACCGTGTCTCTCGTACAAATTGCGGTAGAATTTTCATTATTTAACCATCTACGATAATATCGAGAATCATTTAATCTTATTTCCAAATTATTTCGACGAGTAAAGTGAAAAAGATCGCACAATATGTAATGAATTATCGAGAAATTGAGAAAATTGAGTGACTTGTCCATCACTTGTCTAAATTAATTTAGAATTTAAAAATTAAAAAAATTATTAAAAGATCATTGAAGATTAGATTAATTCTCGAATTGTCGAGATGGTTCTAAATTAGTTACGTAATTTTGCATTACTCTTAATATCGTAAGTTAGTATGTAAACAATTAATTACCGGGAAAAGATATCGCATAAGCAAAAATATCGGTAGTTCGATTTCCATTCATGGGATATCACCGTATCGTCCAGATATTTCCGATTATAAAAGGAATCTCTCAGTGCTTTCAACTGTGATTTTGTCTGATGTCCTCCATTTATTAATTTATTAATCTTTTTGCGAGCTACCGGGCGTTTGAGGAAAAATATCGATCGTGTCTAACGAAGAAAGACGATGTTACTCGTATCAAAATAGACAAAGAAATATTCTTTGTATATAAGTACCTCGAATTCTGACAGACAACAAGCCGTAGAATCTCGTTTAACGTCCATCAGATAATGTTTTTTTCTTCTTTTAAAAGATGTATATCTTCGTATCTTATTCGTTAATTTTTTTTTTTTCTTTTTTTTTACTTCATGTATAAATTATATAGAAATTTAATATTTTTCTTCTTTTCTTTTTTTCTTTTTAATCATTTTTCTGTTTATCATATTATATTGACAGAACAAGGAACGAGATGTTCTTTTATTGGTCAATTATAGAGAGGGAAAGTGATGACGCAAATATTAAATCATTCCACTTTTTCGTTTATTGATGATTTAAGTGCAAGTTGGACATTCTGAGAGACGTTTGTAGTTACTAAATTGCATAGGAATAACTATTAGTTATAAAATCTAATTAGCTCTCTATATTTTTTACTTATAACTATATTACTTTCCA